TTGATTCGTCTTGACAGTTCACAATGGGATCTATATGCTATACTGCTCTTTCTGTAATTATGCAACATTTCTACAGACACTTGAAGGAAGCCCCCCCCCCCACAGACCAAGACCACAGATTAAAAACATTGCTCTAAACAATAAAATATAATACATTTTTGAAAGAAACACTTGTTATATACAAACATTGTTTTGTGCTCAGGGCATTCGTGGCTTAATGATTGTCTGGTGTTTAAGAGGAAAATAAGACAATTTTGGTACTGTGATAACTACTTTATATTGTTGTGGTCAAGAAATTAATGGGTTCATTTATTGCCTCAAAGAGTCAATATAGAAGAAATCAACATTTTATAAAAAAAAAAACAATCTTTCAGTTCTTGCCATGACGCTTTTAGAATAAACTACAATATTACATATAAAAATGTACTTCTAGGATATGAGAAAATGACAATATTTTTTACTCCATGTATTATTGTTCCCTTAGATACAAAGTACTTCATATTACTATGGCAACTAAATTATTTAAAGGGCGTGGTTATTGAATAACAATTCTTTTATAAGCTATACGGATTAACAGAAATGACACATGCTATATTTTGTTAGATTCAGCATATCTGTGTTGAAAAGTATGGGTTAAATAAAAAGCCATCTCACTTTTTCTGATCTTGAATACGTTTATTCAACGAAAGCTCTGTAGATATAATATCAATAAAATGGTTTTACAACGAAAAGTTATGCTCACAGTATTCAAGCTAATTATCATTATCTATTTCTGAAATTGGAAAGACAATTACTCCAGAAAGTCCCTCATTCAACGGATACTATATTCGTAGTTCCTATCACTAGATGGCAGCACAATAAATATATTAAGAAATTTTAATACATTATATGAAGAAAAATATTAAAATTTGAAACTATTCTTTAACAATAGCAGATTAAACAACGTGTGAATTTTAACCATCGAACTAGAATGCAAGTGTATGGTGAATTAGATAATAATTCGTATAATAAAGCCTTTCTAACTACCTAATCAATTTCAGACCTTGTTTATTGTCTGTCACAGTGACGAAACGTCGTAATCGAAATATATCTCGGCGACTTCCGTTTTTTATTACAAGATTAACTGGTTAATTCTGAATAACAGCGTGCCTGCTCTGCTTATCTTGGGAATGATATCCAAACAGAGACAGCAGCATTATCTTCGGGTGTTGGGTGCTTCATTTAACATTGTCAGTTTACGTGTGTGTGTGTGTGTGAGAGAGAGAGAGCTAATATATATATATATCTGCTTCATTAGAAAAATATATTGTACAGTCAGTAATATATAAAGCCATTACAACACAAAGGTTTCTATTGTAACGTGCCATGTGAAAGTTAAGCTTGGTTTGATGAGATTTTTGTTCTTAATCTCAGGCTATATTAGTTTTGTAATAAACCACCAGGACGGCACAGATGACGAGTGGTAGGGTTCCAGCAAGTTCTGTAATGACAATATATATATATCAATGCACTTACCGAATCTGATGGAAGAAATAATAAAAATATATTTCTGATACATATTATGCAAAAACAAACAAACACAAGCTTAATGATTTACTTTCGGGGTAAAAAAAAAAAAAAAAAAAAACAGTTTTGAGGCCCAAAATTAAACATCAAACGCTGTTTTTTTTTTATTAAGGCTTGTATTCAATAACTTTAAAACCGAATATATAAACAAGTTTAAATACCCGCCAAGTGACGGGGAATGTTTAAACTTATTTAAGACAATGTAAGTTTATATTTCAAAGTAATAACTTTAACATAAACTTTATCTCAAAATTTTCAAATTATAACAAAGTTTCTTCATAAACAACATTTGCAGTTTGTTTCCATCTACCAAAAAAGTAAAGATTTTGAGGTGATCCTACCCTTGACCACCCTACATTTTACTGACCATGAGAAAAGCATGGTTGTTTGAGAAACAATCCAGCAACTTTGATGCTTTGATCTTGAATCCCTTTAGAATATTTAACATTGTATAAAGCATCAACCTGCCAAGATTGTTTGAGATTGACTTAATAGGCTGGGAGTAATTAACCAACAGGCTTTACAAAATAGAAATAGGGTTAATTTCTATTTTGACACCCTTAGGACCAGTGATGGAAATGGGGATACACGCCGTGTACCTAGTTCTCAGTTTGTATTATTTTCCCCATTGGTCAAGTTTAGTACTACTGAAGATGTTTATTAATCCTATCGTCACGGGTCAAAGGCCATGTCATCGCATTTTGTTGACTTGCATTCAAAATTTTATTGAACTACTATCAATAAGTTGGTATCAAATTATAGATTATAATTCAGATTTAATATTGTTACGACAGCGGAAGTCACGCGCCGCTGGGAGCATGCGCGCTGGAGTTTCTCGAAGGATCACGAATTTGCTCGCCAGCTCGAGTATGATCTAAATGCCCCCTTTTTTAGTATATATAAGACTGGCAAAGAAAGCCAGCGGCAGACAGATAATTGAGTCAATGAACAGTAGAAACCGTAAGTAAAGTGTGTAAATCACTGTGATTTATAGCGTGTGTTATAAAAGCTGTTAAGCTGTGGCCTACTGGTTAAAGTGTTAGGCTGCGGATCAAAGAGTTTCGGGTTCGAGATGCATTTTAAGCTGTGGCCACGTTATAAAAGTGGCCACCAATCCTGTAATTTGTTTCTATGCCCATGTGGTAAAGGGTACTGAAGCCTGACTACTCTCATTCTGGACAGGTATGCCTGAATTCTAGGGGGTCTATAACCTGGTCGTTTAACTTAAGTACGTTCCGATTGAAAATTCCAGTTTCAGTAACTTTTTTATATGAAATATACTGTTCAAACGATTAAAGATTAATCAAAATTTGTAACATCATATTGAACGGCACCAGGCTTCCCTCGTTTCTTTGTGGTGATCATACATCATATTGATCGGCACCAGGCTTCCCTCGTTTCTTTATGGTGATCATACCTCATATTGAACGGCACCAGGCTTCCCTCGTTTCTTTGTGGTGATCATACATCATATTGAACGGCACCAGGCTTCCCTCGTTTCTTTGTGGTGATCATACCTCATATTGAACGGCATCAGGCTTCCCTTGTTTCTCTGTGGTGATCATACATCATGTTGAACGGCACCAGGCTTCCCTCGTTTCTTTGTGGTGATCATACCTCATATTGAACGGCATCAGGCTTCCCTTGTTTCTCTGTGGTGATCATACATCATATTGAACGGCATCAGGCTTCCCTCGTTTCTTTGTGGTGATCATAAATCATATTGAACGGCATCAGGCTTCCCTCGTTTCTTTGTGGTGATCATACATCATAATGAACGGCACCAGGCTTCCCTCGTTTCTTTGTGGTGATCATACATCATATTGAACGGCACCAGGCTTCCCTCGTTTCTTTGTGGTGATCATACATCAAATTGAACAGCACCAGGCTTCCCTCGTTTCTTTGTGGTGATCGTACATCATATTGAACGGCATCAGGCTTCCCTCGTTTCTTTGTGGTGATCATACATCATATTGAACGGCATCAGGCTCCCCTCGTTTCTTTGTGGTGATCATACATCATATTGAACGGCATCAGGCTCCCCTCGTTTCTTTATGGTGATCATACATCATATTGAAGTGTCATGAGATATACAGATATTAAACTTCGATCAAACGTTCATTTACGGGTGTAACCTGATTGGTCAGTCATTTACATTTCAGATCACACCACAGATCATCTGATACCCGAGTTGCATAAAATTAATAGAGGGGTGGGTGGGGGATTCATGTTATTTTATAACATTGGTTTTGATGGTCATAACCTTAGAAATTCAGATGACGTCTTGTTTAGAATAGTGTATTAAAATAAAAAATAATAAATACGATGCATGAATAGTAAAAAAAATAACTTGCTTACTGTCTGGTAAGTTTGATATATGCTAATGACACAAATATTGTATGTTATTTTTGAATCAACTTAGCGGGCTCTTTTTCTTATTTTGTGATTGATGTATTTTTTTTTATAAAGGAACTTACTCACCGTTATGACCGTTATCCTGTTGGTCACTGCTCCTGTAACGTGCACTGTAAATAGCCTCTTGCTGTTCGGGTGACAACTGTTTCAATTGGTCAGACGTGATGGCTGCTAAACTGTCGTAACTGAGATGATTAAGCTGAGGGGTTGTCAGTACCTGTTTAAGCAAACAATAGATATTGAAATGTATAAACTTAAGCCTAAGTAACATTACTGAATAGAGGGAAAATGATAGGAACTGTTTTATCGAACGTGTATGTGTGCATATACATACATATATATATATATATATTTGCGAAACTGGTAAATTTGTCTAAATCAATGCTTATACCGTGTTTAGTTTTAGAAAAATCTCGAAAGGAACGTAGCTACAGATAAATATCTAGTTAAACTTTTTAGACAAGTTTCTACAGTAGAATATTTTATAATTGAATAAAAATACATTCAGAAAAAAATGTTTTTCCTGAAAAGACAACAACAAACAAACGAAGGACGAATACTGATAGAAAGGGAAATCTGAAAATCTCTTTCAGGAGAAAAACTTATCAAAAAGCCTGCTGTTTTGATGTAGTAAAACTATCAAATTTACTCGTCTGTTTTAAAATGTTCGCGCAAAGCTACACACAGTCGTCCCTAATTCTGAACTGAAGGCAGCCATCGCTAACTCTTGGGCTACTTTTATATGACCTAATTGTGAGATTAAACCATCATCCATCTGACTCTTAAGTGCTGAGCGCGTTTTTGCGGTAACTGTCGTGAGTCTTTAACCCTCGAAATCATAGTTCAATCCAGTTAAGGAAAGAAAATAGTGTTGCGTCAGTGAGGTCACGTGACTAGTATCACGCCACGTCCTTCTCG